TAGTGGGTGGGATACTGGTTAACAATAGATAAAATGCCTTGTGGTGGACACAGTCAACCTCAAATGACCAAGGCTTTTTTGGAGGTTTGGAAATTAAAAAGAGTACATTTTCTTTCATAAAGACAATTTGTAGCTGCTGGCTCCATTCTAAAAGATTCCCTCCATCTATTTGTAATTTTGGAAAGTTAACAGGTATTGCCCCAGAATTGTTTGAATAGTTACTTACTGAGGGTAGCTGTCCATGGTTTTGTAAATGAGGGAACTCACAATAAGGCACAGGAATGCATGTTGTTACTCTGTATTGACTTGTCTCTGTTTCTTTCCTCTCTCTCTCTGTAGGTGGAGAATGAGCATGCGCGAAGCTCATTTCGTGCCGGAGGTCGTTGGGTGAGGAGCTCGCTGCTGTGGCTCCCAGGCCGAAGCCTAGGCCTACCGTTGGGAAGCTGGACTCACCCCTGGCGTATCTGGACCCTTCGCTGGACGTTGGGATTCGTTGCTGAGTGGCTGGATCTCCGGCGAAGAACGGGAGGAGGTGTGGAGGTGAAGTGGTCATAGGTCGAGGACCTCCGAAGTTCGGCGGCGCAGCACCAGTGACGATGGGCCCCGATTCGCGTTCGTTGGTCTCTGGGCGAGCTGGGAAGCCTGGCGGAGGTTGTGGAACAGGTAAGTAGCTGGCTTGTCTTTCCTCCCTCGGGTCTCGCGTCATTGGTGCGGTGGATGGTGAGTTTGAATCCTGCCGTTGGTTTGTCCCGTAGGCGGTTGGTGCTCGTCACTCGTTTTCGGGATGTGTCGTTCCTCTGTGGAGTGGCTGGGCTGGTGCTTCGAAGTCGATGGCCATTCTGTGGTCCTCTTGGCTCCCGGATGTTTCTCTGTGGTTTGTGGCTGGCGCGGGAGGCTTAACGCGGAGCCAAATGCTGCCGCTAGAGTCTCAATTGCTTTTTCTACTTCGAGCTCGGTAAGCGAGCTCCCGTTGGTTTGGATTCTTTCTTCATGGTTGTTTTCGGGTTGTTCCCCATTTATTTTGGGGTTCTCGTTGTTTCGCGCCATTGAATTTGAATCTCGGCTCCCCATTGGTTGTTGGCCATTCCAAGATGGCCACCAGGAGCATGGCGCAAAAATGAAATTGTCCATGTCCGGTGCTTCTGCTTGGGAATGCCTTTCCCTTACCGGATTGGCGGCTTCATGGTTTTGCTCCTGGGCATTCATCGCTGCTCCATGGTTTTCTAGGAGGCCTTGGAGTTTCGCGATGAGCTCTCCGTTGCTGATGGGCGCTTCCATCATTTTCAGTAAGGCCATTCTGAATTAGTTTTTCTCTTGCGGCTTTTCTCTGTCGTGTTCATCTGCTTCCTCTCGTGGTCTCTCGTTTCTGGTAAGTGGGTACGGATCTTCATCCTGCTCACTTTCAGTCGTTGTGGTTCTTGCCATGGCACCTTTGAATGCCTGTAGTTCAGCCATTAGTCTGGCGTAGGCTCTTGTGTTTATTCTGTTCTTCATTTCAGAATAAACTACTGGCTCTGTCATTATTCAGAGTTATGGGTAACCATCCTCTGCTACCATATTGTTATAGGGATGGATCTGACCCAATAACTCACAATACAAGCATATGTATTTCTTAAATTCTTTTATTACAGGTCTGAATCGATCCTAGGCCTATTCCATTAAATCTAACTGACCTTTGTTCTTTCCCTTGCAGGTATACATCTGGAACTGCTGGACGACCTCATGGTGGAAGGTTTTATACCCAGAGGGAGGAGTCAGGAGGTAAGGTGTGGTTATGGGGATGATGGGATATGTGACTTGTTAACTCTTGCTGGGCTGTGGGGTTGTTGTGTGAGATAGCTAGACATTTAACCTGACAAATTCTAATGTGACTAGATAGCAAAATTTTAAAAAACCACCTTGTTCTTATGTGGTTATTTGGTAATTATTTCATATTGAGAAAATTTACCCTATTTGAGTGAAAAAGAACAGAATGCTTACTATTACTAATAAAAAGAAAACTACAAATATTGAATTTTACTCATCCTAGAATTTTTTTTAATGTTGCTCACTGGATATATTCTGTAGCTATGCAACCTGCCCCCATCAGGAGCAAAAGAATAGATCCATACATGAAGGTTCAATTAAACTGATTTATTGCTAAAAGCCTATGCACAGGAATCTTCTTAATTAATGGTTGGCACCTGTATAGACTTAGATAAGGATCAATGGCACTCAAGGAAGGTTGGAGTCAGTTCTCTTATGGCTACATAGGGATTCTGGGCTGATCCCTCTTTTCACTCTGTCCTCAGGTTCTGCCATCCCTTCTCCTCCATGACTCTGCAGAAATTTTAATATGGAAACTAAGTATCAATTCAGACACAGAAAAGCATTCTGGCACTATGATTATGTATCTGGGATGAAAACCAAGTCAGACAGAGGATTAAGATACGTCTGTGACCTTTAGCATTCTTGCCATCACACTGATCATAGCCAAATACTTTCACTTACTGCTTTCTGTAGCAACTGCCAAAGTTAGCAAATCTTGTTTTTACAATGCAAACAATGCTATCTTGTTAAGTTTTTTTTTTAGTTTAGTCAGTTACCTGCTGCCAAAATGTTTAAATCAGGGCCCCTCCTTTAAAACAAACAAGTAAAATTTGCAAATACAACTTGACTTGAAAAGTTAGTTTTATGCAAGCATTTATAGGCATCTCCCTGCATATTTTACAATTTAAAATGTGGAATGTGTGTATGTAAATACGAATTCTGTCCTCTAGCTCTCCACTTAATCATCAGGAAGGTGGTCACAAAAAGTTATCTACAATGAGAAACCTGGATAAGTTGGGAATGTAAATGTATGAAGTTAAACATACTTAGAAACCACTTGTAGAACTTCTCAGAAAAAATGCAAAATACACTGTTCAGGAATATTGGGGAATGGGCTTGCCTGCACCCCCTATCTTTTCAATACTTTAGCTCTTGTACATGGAAATCAGGCCTACTGTCATACCCCTATTGCTCTTCTTATGCAAGGAAAACACACACTGCAAGACAAAAACAAGGATATTCTTCCAGTGTGAAGTCAATTTTTCCTGAGAGAAATTGATATTACATGCCAGTAGGAGGCAGGGTCAAAGCAAAAAACCCCCAAAAACTTCATATTCAATCACACGTTCAGCCATATGCTTGAAAATAGCCTCCATAATAGTAAGGGTCACCATTTATATCAAACCAATATTAAACTAATATATACCACTGTATTATATAGTATATAATATAACCATGCTAAACCAATATCCATCAAATCACATTATGGCTTATTGCAATGTATGCAAACAGTCAATGAGATATGAGACAGGAAGAGATTAATTCAGGTGCCATGCCATACCATGTCTTGCAAAAAACATACTTTACAGACCCAAATTGCTTTGAAAATCCATATAGGCAAAATATTATTTTTGGTCTATACAAATTCATTCCTGTCACTAGGGAAAGCGGTCAAAGTATTAGTTTCAGACAATTTGAGGCATGGTCCAAATTGAACTGCAAGAGCTGTGGTGGCCCAGTGGTTAGAATGCAGTACTGAAGGATACTTCTGCTGACTGCTGGCTGCCTGCAGTTTGGCAGTTCCAAGTCTCATCAGCTCAAGGTTGACTCAGCCTTGCATCCTTCCAAGGTCGATAAAATGAGACCCAGATTGTTGAGGGCAATAGGCTGACTCTGTAAATTGCTTAGAGAGGGCTGTAAGGCACTGTGAAGCAGTATAAATGCTATTGTTAATTTCAGAGTTACAGTGATAAATAAATGATGCAGTAATAAGACTTGCAAGTAAGTCAGCCATGAAGTTATTTCTTGTATATATCGGGATGGGCATTTTAACTGTCAAATCTTTGCCAAATTAAAGTAATCAATGCCTCATATTAATTCTGCAAGAGGTGCTTCCAAAGACAGAAGTGTGAACATAGCATCTGTCTGCCACTCCAATAGTCATTATCTGTTTCCAGGATGACAAAACTACAATGGAAAACTCCATACAACAGTTGCATAATCTTAGCAGCACACACACCCCCTCTCCAAACGTTGCTTTAACAAATTGCAGACAAGCACTGCGTTCATGATCTCATGTGTTCCAAAAACTGCTATCAAATTACTCACTGGATAACAAAGATGCCTGGCACTGTTCTCAAAAATGATTTTGGAAGTAACTGTTCAGATCATGTATCACAGCATGAGTTAAATTACTTTTTAATCTATTTTACATATGATACCATAAACTAAAGGTAAGGATTTAATCAATAAAAAGATACGTAATATGTATCTCTAAATTAGAGTTCAGAGATACATAAATGAGTTCCCATTTCCTCCTTTGGCATGATCAATATAACTTGCTATTTTATTTTAGCACTGTACATAAACTTTGATTAGCCTTATTTTTTATGTATTTTATTTATTTATTATGAAATTTATTTGCCTCCCATCTTGTATTTAATGACTCTGGGTGTCTTACAACATAAAAACATTAAAAAACTTTACAGTGTGAAACTCCCCCATTGGGTCCTAAAACCATCTGGCAGTTCTTATCCAGGGTTTACTGAAAGCACAATTTCTGTAGCTGTACTATAAAGACGCTATGTTTTACATTTGAATGTGATTTTGCGACTGAACTATGGATAAATTAGAAACTGAATTTTTCTGCTGACTATGCCAGAGAAAGGGAGTGGGAAGTAATGGGAGTCTTTGGAGGTGTTAGGTGGCGTACAAACTGAAGAGAAAGAAGAAGAGAGAGAAAGAAAGAAAACAAATACAAAATTTGTCTGAACAAGACTAATACAATGAGCTACCGTTGCATACTGAAAGGGGGAGGGGTCTATTTCAGGAGTTGAACAGACCCATTCATTTGATCCAAAGAAATCACAAAACAAACCCCAAAGTACAAGGTTGTTTCTTACTAAATCCTAACAAAGGAAGACAATATATTATTTGTACAATTTTTTTTTAAAAAAAAGTTATGTTCTTACCACAAGCCTTACAGCAGGCCACGCAAATTTCTTCTGCAACATACTCTCCAGCTGGAAACAGTAGATAGTCACCTTCTGCCTTTCCTGGGGAATTATAAAGGTAAATTCGAAACAGCTGCTCTGAAGGTCGAGAAATAGTAGAATTTCCAACAATGCCACCATTTTGATGAATAGTAGAAGATACTGTTCCTTCCATATCTGTCACTGTAAGTAAGGCCATGATATCTTTACATTCTGTTCAGCATATCTTCCTGCAAGATATTAAAATTAAAATCTGTAAACACTTTTATATTCTAACACATATATATTCTATATATCTAGAATATTTTGCATTAATTTAGATTTAGTTTATACATTTGGTTTATTCAGGGCAGTCCAGCATCCCAAAAATGAATGCATTCTCTCTTTCTCTCTCTCCCCGAAACTCTTAAGAATTTAACATAAGCTGATGACATAGTTTTATAGGATCACTGACTCTCAATTGACCTTCTAAGTAATCTGAAGCAAATGTTTCTTATAGTACAGAACCAACTTCTCAAAAAGACTAAATCCAGCAAAATGTAAATATGTATGCTCTGCTACTACATGGTAACTGAGAAAAGAGATCACTGAAAATTTCAAAAATCCAACCATATTTAACATTTCTTCAACACCAAAAATCATTTGCAGCCCCAAAATCAAATCAAATCAAATCAAGGCCAGACAGGACTTTGAGGACAGAAGTCTAGTAGTTATGCTTGAAGGGAAGGGCGTTGGACTTTGCTGTCCCAGGACCTTGTAAATGACTGTCCTTATTGCTTCATCTCTTGCAGGAATATTAAGCAACTTTCCCAAAGGCATAAACCGAAGACAAAAATCTGGCACCCCATACAAGTGGTGATGCACTCAACTGACACCTGATGTTGCCTTATATGAACATGTATGCAGGGTTCTGTTTTTTAATGTTTCCCAGATCTAACATATTTTATTCCATTCGGTTTTAATTCTGGTTAATTTGCTTTGAGAGGTAGAAGGCTCATTTTTCAGAACTTAAACAAGTCACAATACCTTCTACACATGTACTTGATGACATAATCCAAAGTTCATACAATAATAATGTGACTGCTTTTAAAGTGCCACAAGATATTTGCTACAAGAGATCCCTTCAATACAGTATTGTAAAATGCAGCTCTATTGTAGCCGCTGCAAAATGCAGGCTCACAAAATGGGTATCAGGGGGTTTTTATATGACAGATAAGGAGCTGAAAGGCAGTGAGTCCACCCACACTGAACTGTTACATGAAAAACTTTTCTATCTGACCCTCTTATTAGCTTTAGTAATGTATACTGAATTATCTAATGTGTAATGGTTCAGAAAAGAATAGGTAGGCTCCTGCAAAATATATGCATTTCTTAAAGATAAATGCTTCGTCACAGTCAAGTTAATGAGTTTACAGTATGTTGGATACATTTGATATTAAGGAGAACTTTTGGATCTCACCTCCAACATGCAAAACATAGCAGTCCTGACTGAGATAGGATTTTGTATTATATTTTTAGCTTCAGAATGCCTTAGCCAAATAAGCAAGGCTCTTTAAACTTGCACAAGTGTAGATTGATACTGATTTCTGTGACGGATGAAATTCTAGAGGAAAAAATGATATGTCAGACTGTCCAATTTTTCACCATAGACAGACCAGGTTTATGTTAATATAGTTTCTAATTTTATTCTTATGGAAGGTATTTAATAATACTTCGTACATGCCAAGTGGCCACAATGATGGAAGCCAGCATTTGAGGTGCTATGTCTGGACACAATGGTGAAATATGTCAGGAAGACAATCCAGGAAAAAAATAAAGCTGGCAGACTATGAATAAAATTTAGAAATAGCGTCCTGTAGAGCAGTGCTTTGAGAGTTTTAGACATTTGCATCTCTTTATATAACTCGACTCTGAAATGATCAAATGACGCTTGAGATAAAGATAGTAGCAGAGTTATTAAATATAGTTGCAGGTTGAGAATATAAAAAAAGTTAAATTACTGCCCAACTATCATTAATTTGCCCTTTCATTTTAAACTAATAAAGGTATTATTTTATTTACCCCTAAATGTACTTTAAGTGAGATAAACTTTTAATGACCTAATTTTACTTGTGGACATCAAAAACACAATTGGATGTTTTTCAAGAATCCACAACAGAAAATCCATTTTGAATAAGAATAAGGGGTGAGAAAGTTTCCAAGATTTAGGGACACAACTCTAACCCTCTGAAAAGCCACAAGAGGCCATCTCATTTGGACTACTGCAATGCCCTCTACATGGGGCTGCCCTTGGGATGTACCCGGAGGCTCCAGCTGGTCCAAAATGCGGCCGCCCGGGTTGTTACGGGAGCTTCCCGTTAATCCCGTGTTACACCTCTCCTGCGCAAGCTGCACTGGTCCTTCGGATCCGCTTCAAGGTGCTGGTACTTACCTATAAAGCCCTACATGGCATGGGCCTGGGGTACCTACAGGACCACCTTCTGCCTGCCTCCCACCACCCTGTGCACTCACATAGGACTGCCCTCCTCCAGGTGCCATCGGCCAGACAATGTCAGCTAGTGGTGCCCAGAATGAGGGCATTCTCTGTGGGCGCACCGACCCTCTGGAATGGGTTACCCACGGGGCTCCGGACCGCCCCCGACCTCCGTTCTTTCTGCCATGACCTGAAGACATGGCTTTTCCAACAAATTTGCTGATCTGATGGGTGATTTTTAATTGGGAGATTTTAATTGATTATTTTAGTAATTATTTTTATTGTTTTCATCGTTTTAATTTCTGTGAGCCGCCCCGAGTCCTTTGGGAGAAGGGCGGCATAGAAGTATAAGAAAAATAAATAAAATAAATAAATCTGACGATTTGAGGTTATTCTTGGAATGAAAATGTTTAATGGGCTTTAATGGTGAGTAGTGTGTATGAGCCAAGCTGTTTTCTGTCTCAACCTAATTTTGAAAAATAGATTGAAATGACTACAGTGAAATTTGGCAGCAATAGAAAGAAAAGTTGGAAATTGAGAAAAGTGTGGGAATATTTTGACCTCTTGAGGCCTTCTATTCTTATTCCTATAGGAGTATAGCATTTCATTTTTGAAAGGGGAAAAAAATGAAATGCTAAAATTCAGCAGCATGGTTTTAGAAGGCTATAAGAAAGCCAGTTTGATGTAGTGGTCAAAGACCCATGCTAGGAACAGAGAGATCCTAAATTCTGCCTTAGACATGAAAGCAGCTGAGTGATCTCAAGCTAGATATTGTCTCTTAGTTTTAGGAAGAAGGCAATGGCACGCCTATATACAACACACACAGTTTTTAGAAATCTGTGATTCCAAAAAATTCTATTCACAACTCAAAAAGGGGTATTTCAGCATCAAGATATATTAACACAGTTATAAAGAGGTTTGGAAAACAGTGATCATATACTGTGTAATCATCAGTCTGTCAATCATGAACTCATCTGTTGTGAATTATGAACTATTCAACTATTCAATAAATGCTTTAGCAGATGGTAACTATCCTGAAAACAAGTGCTGCAAGATGTTGGTTATGTAGCCATAAACTAAACAATGTGAGCAGCTTCATGTATTCAGAGCATGAATACTTGTGGATCAAAAACATGCAAACACTGTTCTCATTACAAAAAACAAAACAAAAACAAATTACTGTAAAAACAAATACCACTCTCAGAAGCTGGAAAAGTTGGGATATAATTCAATCCTTCCTTTTATGTATATAAAAAAGTAATATTTGGCATGACTATCAGGAAGCTGCAAATGGTCCAGAATGCAGCGGCATGTGCAGTTTTGAGTGCTCTATGGTTCATTCAAATTACATCACTGCTGCATGAACTGCATTTGCTCCAAGTTTCCACTTTCCAGGTAGAATTCAAGCTGCTGGTTATTGTTTTTAAAGTCCTGGACCAGGTTACTTGTAGCACTGCCTGAAGGTATCTGTTTTACCTACAGGTAATTCCCGCGTTATGAGCATTCCTTAGTGAACGTTCGAAGTTACACAATAAGCGCCCCCTAGTGTTTACGAACAAGTCCCAAAACACAAATGTTGCAGCACCATGGCAGTTGTTCACCCTTATGAACAACTGCAGAGGCTCTGCAACATTCCTCCTGCCTATTTCCTTCTGCTCCGTATTTTCGCAGCCAAAACGGAGCTTCAGAGGGGCGGGCCTGCCCCTCTGATACTCCATTTTGGCTTGCGCAGGCCTCGCCTGACATTTTGAAGGCCAAAACGGAGCGTCAAAGGGGTGGGCCTGCCCCTCCAAAGCTCCGTTTTGGCCAGCAAAATGCTGGACAAGGCCTGTACACATCAAAAGGGAGCTGTGGAGAGGCACGAGAGGCTGGAGAGGAGACAGCTTGCTAGCTCCGCAAGGTAAGTGACCTGGCATGGCAGGTTGGAGGAAGGAAGCAATTGTGGGGAGCATGAAGTATTTCAGTGGGTCAGGGAGGCCTTGTGGGTCAGGGAGGTGGTCTTAAGCAGGTGGCCTTCCCCACCCTGAAATACCTCATGGGCACTTAACGAACCACGCATTCGATTAGTGAATGCGTGGACGAAAAGAGGGAGTGATCGCATTCAAGGTATGAGTTTCACTGCCACGAATCCTTGGGTTACCGATGGAATGGGCAGGCTCCATTACATTCATAACTCAAGGAATACCTGTACTAGATCTGGAGCGTGGTGGCTCATGTTGTTAGAACACTGGGTTGACAATCAGCAAGCCTGTGTGTGAGACCCAAATGCTGCTATGCATTGGGGTGAGCGTGTGTCATTTGCTTCAACTTCTGCCCACCTAGCAGTTTGAAACTGTGAGAGGATAAATAGGAACTACTTCAGTGGGCAATTAATAGGGAAATGAAAGGAGCCCCCAACCGGGCGTCCTCTGGGCAATGGTAATGTCATTGTGTAATCTTTTCAACCACAAAGTGCCTCAGCGCTTCTTATACGAAAGCAGCAACCTACTAGATTTCATACGGTCGGCCTCTCTCTTAAATGTTCTCTCCTCAGAGGTGCTCCGAGCCTTTTGGAATGATCTTCCACCTGAGATACAACAGATTTCTACTCTTTTAGATTTCCAGAAGGAAGACTCAGCCATTCCGCCAAACATTGGGATAAGATATGGACTGATCTGGGAGGATCTGAGAGGAAGAGTAGTTTTGTTTCTAGCCTTGTTTATTCCTGGTTGTGAACCACCTAGAATGCATTATATGAGATGAGTGCCAATATCCATA